CACACACACACACACACACACACACAGACACACACACACACACACACACACACACACACACACACACACACAAGTATCTTAATTGGTTTCTCTGGAACTGGAGTTGTAGACTCTTAGCTGCCATGTGGGTGCTGGGAACCTAACCGGATGTCCTCTGCAAGAGCAGCCAGTGCTCTTAACTGCTGAGCTGTCTCTCCAGCCCTGCGAACTTTTATTTTAAATTGTAGTTACACCCTAACTTTTTTTATCCGTGGGACTCTCTCTGGTCATTTTAACAACTACAGCTTCTAAATGAGTGATATTTATAATCTTTAAGACTACTGATGAGAGAAAATTAAAAAATTTTAAAAGCACCAAAGCTCAAGGAAGCATTCAGAAATGTGCAGAGGGGTACGCTCGGTGGAATAGGTCTCTTTGGATCTGTGTACTCAAAAGTCAGTTCTGTTACCTATCTGGAAATTTAGGTTCCTATCTCCGCCACAGGCTGCTTACCAATGCAAGGCACAATTTCAGTGTTCTGGAACCTTTCAGTTCCTCCCACCCTAAGCATTCCTCCTCTTCCTGAGGGTAGGGTGGGGTGGGAGAGGGATAGAAGCCAGGCTGCATATTGGTGTTGTGTTATGCCAGACATGGTGGGGGTGGTGGTCTGTGACCCTCCTAGGGTAGTGATTGAGTCTGGCTGGAGGATTGCTGGGGGCAGTGGAGGGGGGATCTGTTCTTTTTAACCCTTGGGCCACCACGCCCAGTGTTCTTTGTGCTGCATGGCTGCCACTGAGCTGGGTAATGCTGTATGCCTTTGATTCAGTCTTTTCTGACTCTTCTACAATGGTTGGAAGCAAGAAATCCCCAGGCAGGCTGTATGATCAGGCACCAGGAAGAGAGGAAGGAGCCCCAGGCTATGATGTAGTCCTGTCCCTCAGGAAGTCTCTCCTTGCTGAGGGCAGATGAAGGGCAGATGGGACTGATAATGAGTCACAGGTCTCTGCACCCTCCTTTACCCTGCTTCCCCAGGCTTCAATTCTTTAGACACTTGCTGGGTATCTACCACATGTCAGCTTTACGCAGTTCCCTGGGAAGGATAACCACTCAAAAAGACATTTTCTCTCCCTCCCTTTCTGAGAAGGCTAAAGCCTGGTGGGGTTTTGGTCCCTTGGAGATAAAGAAACCAAGAATATGGACCTATGGGGTTCCCATTCCTGCCCTTCCTCCCCCAGGGTGCCACCGTGTCCCTCTCAGAGACAGTGCAGAAATGGAGAGAGTACAGACGGCAGTGTCAACGCTTCCTGACTGAAACTCCACCTCTGGCCGCAGGTGAGTCCCCATGAGCCCTTGCCCAGCCAGCTTGCACTCAGCCCACTCCCAGAAGGCTCTGATAAAACCCAAGTCTATGGGTCATTTGCCTCTCTGGACTGCCACCTGCCCCAGGCCTCAGTCCCAGTGGTCTCCCTTTCTCCTCACATGAATGCCTTCCTGCCCACCTCCTACCTGCCCAAGGTTCTTCAAGCCCAACAAAAGAGCTTCCTTCCCTCAAGGATTCTTTAATCCTTTCCTATCTGCCTGAGGGCAGCTTTGGGGTTACTATTTTGTTTCTATCTTTACCTCTACCCCCAACTCCAGCTCACAGAGCAGGGACCCAGCTGCCTGTGTTCTATGTTGAAGAAGGTCTAACACACACGTTTATATGAATACACCTTTTTTTTTTTTCTTTGAGACAAGGGCCCTTGTAGCCCAGGCCAGCTTCCAATTCACTAAGTAGCTGAGGATGATCTTGAATTTCTGATCCTCCTGTCTCTGCCTCCTGAGTATTGGGGTTATGGGTATGTACCACCACACTGAGTTTCTTCGGTGCTGGGAATGGAACCCAAAGCCTCATGCATGGTAGGCAAGCACTCTACAAACAGACTCATGCGCAGCCTTTCTAGGAATAGATGTTTTGGGGGAGTTTACAGGGTGGTTTAAACAACATTAGAGCCAGATGGGCCTGGGTTCAAATCCTTAGTCATATCATAGCAACTATTTCCCTATGAGCTGTAAAGGGTAGTTTAAAATAGAATTGTAGGCCAGGTGTGGTAGTACGTGCCTTTAATTACCAGTACTCATCCTTGGAAGGCAGAGGCAGGCAGATCTCCATGAGGTCAAGGCCAGCCTGGTCTATGAAGTGAGTTCCAGGCCTGCTGGGGTTATAAGGAGACCCCATCTCAAAAAGATCAAAAGAATAAAAAAGGTTTATTGGGCATTTACTATATTCATTTATCTATATAACACAACAGCCTTTATCCCCACAAAGTTCTATGGGTCAGGAATGTGCCCATTCTACAGAGGAGGACACAAAGATGTTAAAGAATTTGTTCAAGGCCCTGCCCCTGATCGCTGGCAACTTCCTTCCTTGGTGCTCTGCATCGGGTAAGCACTGTGGGAGAGTGCTCTGCATACAGTAAGCACCCAGCAGAAGCCAGAGGACTGCAGCTTCAGTGGTGGGGAGAGGAAGTTGGGAGGAAGGAGAAATGATGGTTAAGCACAGGCAGGGACTCAAGGACTTCTCTATTGCCCCAGGCCTCTTCTGCAACCGGACCTTTGATGACTACGCCTGCTGGCCAGACGGGCCCCCAGGTTCCTTTGTGAATGTCAGCTGCCCGTGGTACCTGCCCTGGGCCAGCACTGGTGAGTGTCCCCCTTCACTGGACCCTAGAGGCTAGAGAAGGGGAGAGCATGGTCTCCCTTCCTCAAGACCCAGCACTTGTATACCAGAATGTCTTCAGGCCTCCTAGAGGGTGAATCACCCACCTAGAGGGGTGGTAGTCAGGAGTGGCAGGTGTCAGAACTGCCTGGGGTGTGACCTGGGTCCAAGGCCTGTGCTGGCAGGGGTGGGGGAAACTGTGGAGTCAGACTTAAGACAGAAATATGGCCTTCCAACCTAGAAATGAGGGAAGGAGCCAGGTGGGAAGAACAGATCCTGGGGACAAAGAGGAGATGCCCAGAGCTGTCAGTGTCTAGGGTATGTGTGCATCCGTGTGTGTTTATATGTGTGTGTGTGTATGTAGAGGTGACTTTATACCTGGGGTCTGTCTGTGTAAATGTGTGCATAGGTGGCTTATACCTGGGGGGGGGGTGTCTGTGTCTGTGTGTATAGGTAGCTTATACCTGGGGTGTGTGTACATGTGTGCACATGTGTCTTTGTGTGTGTGTGTGTGTTTATGTATAGATGGCTTATATCTGGTCGGTGGGGAGGTGTGCGCATGTAGGTATGTAGGTAGTGACTTCCTGACTATTTTAAGGATTCACAGGGAGCAATGATAAAGGGCATTGGTGGGCTGGCCCCTCAGACCCTTCCCAACCCACTCCTGCCTAGAGGAAAGGTGTGGCTGGATGGGTGGAAGAGTCACTGCCCACAGAGCCCTCCAGAAGGTCCAGGTGCTCCTGACTGCAGTAAGTTCCATGCCTACACCTCCATCCCAGCTCCCATGCTGAGGGCCCATGGAGGATAGCAAGGACCAGCACCCTTGCTACAGCGAGTCCCCGTGTCCATGAGGGGAGAAAAGACACTTTGTGTTTGTGTATGTGCCTGTTCATGTGTGTGCAGGTGCACATGTATGTGCAGATGTGAATTCACATACGTGTTCCTCCATGTAGAGGCTAAGAATCAACTTCAGGTTGTCCTCAGGCACTGTCTTGGCTAGACTGGATGGTTAGCAAGCTTGAGGGAACTGCCTGTCTCTACATCCCTAGTCCTGAGACTACAAGCACTCACCACTATGCCTGATTTTTTTATATGGGTGCTGGGGGTCGAAATGGGGTCTTCAAGCTTGCATGGCAAGCATTTCCCAGACTGGGCGATCTCCCCAGCCCAGAAATGGCGCACTTAAGGTAATAATAGGGAATACTCATTGAGCGTTTGACCCTGTGTCCAATCCTGCTCTAAAAGCAAGGCATCTGTTTCGTCTCGATAGCTACCCTGGGGTCATGCTTGTCCACATGAAGTAACTGAGGCTCTGGAAGATTTAAAAGATTCAAGTCACTTGTTCCAAAGGAGGTGGCAAATGGCAGCATCTGGATTTGAACCTAGAGCATGCCCTTACCATTAGCCCTGGTCTGTGATCAAATGTAGGAATAAGGTCAGGCTGGGGGAAAGCCAGGTCTTCCTGGAGAAAGCAGCCTGGCAGGCCTGACATGAACTTCACTTCAGCACAGATTGTGTTTGGTTTGATGAGGCCCAGGTAGGTCTTCTAAAGAGGCTATACCCATCTCTCCCTGAGCTATGGAGGGCGAGCTGGTGACCTCAAAAGAGGCAGGCTCCCAAGTGGGTTAGTGACCCTTAAAATTCCTCAGCACAGCCTGTAGTCTGCCTCCTGACAGAGTTATGCTCATTCAGTCCTACCCACAATCCTCTAAGGCAATTACTCACATTGATGAGGAAGGTGAGACACAGAGAAGCTGTATGGCATTTCCAAGATCACACAGCTAGTCCCTGGCAGACCTGGGCATCGGTCCAGGAGACTGGGTTAGTCTCTGCATTAATTGTTTAATTGCATGCCCAGGCTTCCTGGAGAGCTGGGCTGGGCGGTGCCTGAGCATGTGGTGCTGGCCTGGAGACAGGTGAGTGGTCTGAGTGACCTTCATATTAATAAAGTCAGTGAGCTCCTGCCCTCTCCCTCTGAGCCCTGCAATCCCATGGCTCCGTTTGTGAATGGCCCAAGCTCTCTGTGATCCAGTTTGTACACTTGGAAGGTAGGATAAAACCAGGTGACATGGAGAAGGGAGAATCAGGTCCTTCACACACACACACACACACACACACACGCACACACACACACACACACACACACACAATCCCCATTTGTTTTTCTACCCACCCTACCTGCTTCTGGGATTTCCCACTTTGCACACACATTCCCTGCCTCAAAGATTTGGGACTTATGCTTGGGCAGCCCAGCTGGGCCTCTAGACCCCAGGGAGCCAGGCATGGGACAAAGCCCATCACTCAGCACTAAGCACCCCCAGCTCTGCCTGAGCTTGTGGCTCCATCCATCACCTTTAATTTTATTTGAGCAGGAAATAGGTCCTGGTGGTGCCCGTTTATGAGCGAACACGGTTTTATTGCTTTCTCCATGAAGATAACAGCCTGTGCACAGGCCCCCTGCCAGCCTCCTCCCCTCCCTTCTCGCCAGGCTAATTTACTCCCTTTTTGACACTCAGAATTGCCAGACTCTGCCTCTGTTCTCCTGAGTTAGGGACCCACAGAGATACCCACTGGGCTCACACAGCGTAATTAACTGCACTGGTGGGGGGGGTTCCCTGACCCCACCTAGGACGTAAGGGAGTGGGGAACGGGTTTGTTTAGCTTACCTCAGGGAGCACCGGGTGGAGGTGCTACACAGCATGAGCGAGACCAGGGAGAAGACAGGCCATGTCTCTGGCAGCTTCTCTTCAGAAAACACGCTCAGCAGAGAATCTGAAGAAAATGGAGTGGACAAAGCTCAGCACCCCCTAGGCCTGAAAAGTAAGAGGCAAGCATAGGGTCTGTCTGTCCCATGACAGATGGAGTTAGGATGGAGAGGCCGCCAGCAGGGCTGAGGCAGCAGAGGGGCCATGGCCAGAGCCTCACACTCCAGTAGAGCAGGAAGAGCAGAGCAATGTCCGAGTTCTTTTCTCCCTAACCCTTCTGTCTTCTGCCAATGTGTCCTGTTGGCCAAACCATGTGCAGGACAAGAAGTTGTAGGGTGCTCTACCCAGGGAGCCAGCCTTGTAGGGTTCACAGCACGGGAGACGAGTGGGTGACCTCACAAAGAACTAAATTCAAACCAACAAGCATAGCTAAAGTCCTTGTCAAGATTTAGGGATGCCACTGAGACTTTGTGTGTGGGGGGGTGATCTATGTAGGGGACTTTCACCATGGGACTGAGCGGGTCAGGCAGAGGTGGAGAGGGAGGTCAGAGCCACCTTCTTCCTGGGTGAAGAGAATGAGAATTTCAGGGAGAAGTGACCTTGGGGCCGGGTTGGAAGGGCAGGCAGATGCACAAGGGGAGGAGGATGCTCTGGGGACACCTTGAACACGGGGCAGCGCCTCAGGCCTCAGAGATACACAGTGTCTCTGGAAAGCCAGCCAACGCCTTGTAGTCTGACCCCTGTCACTGGGGACTCAGGACTCTGGATGTTGGTGAGAGACTGGCAGCCGAGAAGTAGAAGGACGGTGTTGGAAGAGTGTGGCGTACACAAGACGCCCGCATGTGGCCTTCCAGCCCAGGCCTCTCGGCAGCCTCATTCTCCCTCATCACTGATCACACATCATCCCAGCCTCATTAGCTGCCCTCTCCAGCTTCCTACCTGTTTGTTAGCTTAACTCTAATTATATGAGGGTCATAAAATGCTTTTAAAATAGCCTGTAACTCACAATTCTTGGAAACTTTGACAAGTTGCCTCCAGAGTTATGTTAAGTCTGGGAGCTTTTAATGCAAGCCGAGGCTGCCAAGGGGAGACTGAGGCCCACGTGGGCCTCATAGGAGCTCTGGCCCTGTAAAGCTGGCAGAGGCAGGAAGGCCTCCATTGTGACCGCCTACCATGCCTCAAGTACTTCATTTCTCTGTCTCCTGAGAAGGATGGTCATTTTACAGGTGGGGAAACTGAGACCCAAAGACACGATGTGACGCTCCCAAAGTGCCACAGCTGGAACCAGGATTGGAATTTGAATCCAGACTTCATGACCTGGGCTTCTTCTAAGCTCTGATGCTCTGTGGTGCCTCATCAAGTACTGGCACCCTCATTGCCAGCCCACATTTGACCCCCTGCTAATCCTGCCATGTTTAGGGAGGGCCAATGCCAGTCTCCCCGAGTCTCACCATCTGTGAAATGGGGCCCCCTGGTCCTTGCCAGCCATCCCTGTTGCCAGGGTGCAGAAGCTAATGGATTCACAAGCAGCTCTCCACAGCTCTGAGTGCCCGAGGTCCACGTGGAAGGGCGGCTGTTAGCTTGATTACAGATGCCGTGGCAGCTTCCGGGAGGCGAAGTGTTTAATTGGGGGTTTTATTTCCAGCACCAGGGTCTAACTTAATGAAATATCCCTGGGCCTCCTGGCATGTGGCCGCCTGGTTGTCTTCCTTCTATTGACTGGCCGGAGCCAAGCCCCTGGCTGTGATTGGCCAGCTCCTCCAGGGCCTGATAAAGCTGGCCTGATAAGCAGGGCTATGCCCAGTCACCCACCTCCAGCCACAAGGGGCGTTTGGGGACCAGGAACCAGCCTTGGCTTTTAATATTTGATGTTAATGAGGGCTAACTGATAGTGAACTTGAAGGCTGACTGAGCTTCTTTGGGATGCAGTGATTCCTTGACTCTAAGCCAGGAAAGCACACATCTGTACACACACCACTGCCTCACCTCCACGCTGGCCCTGAGTAGAGGGCCCAGCACTGCCCAGGCCGTCTGGGGGCCCTACCGGCAAGGGAAGGGGCTGCATGTGTGGTAATCCAAGCTCAGGGGATGGACAGAGGGAAATGGCATATGGCGATGGTTGATTCTTGGCACGTCTGGGTGCCAATTTTCGTCAGCTTGGAAGCAGAGAGCTGCAGGTTCGAGTCCTGACTTTGCTTTGTCCTAGCTGTGTGATCTTAAGAAAACCTCTTGGCTTCTCAGAGGCTCAGTGTCTTCATCTGTAAACTGAGACTAGCTGTGCCTCCCCTGTGAGGTGACTGTGACGTTCAAAGATGTTAGGCATACAGTATGTGTTCAAGATTTGATTCTGTGAATGCACACCTGTAGGAGAGGACATGCATATTGCCTGTAGAGAGGGAGACCGCAATTGTATAGTAGTGCCTACTGGATGCTAGGCTCCGTGCCAGCTGTGGGAAGTCACACCTGTGTGTGCTGATGATGCGTGTACTGGAGACTTCCTTTGCAGTGTCCTGTCCTTTCCTCTGGCTCCCCGGCTTCCTCCTTTTTCCTCCATTTCCTCCCATCCAGATGGACTATGAGTGGCCTTGGTAGCAATTTCATTCCGACAGAGTTTGTCCAGGTCCCCATTACTGTTCTTGGGGTAATCTACAACCAAAGACAAATTTTGTCATCTACTAAAAGACTTGACCCCCAGTAAAGAATTTCAAGCATCCGTGCAGCAGATAAAAGATGCATTTGGGGCCCAAGAGCAGCTCTTCAAGATGCTAAAACAAGACCATGTGCCTCCCTGTTTCTGCATTTGTGTTTCTGCCTTTGTATGTGCCCAACTGTTCATAAAACACATTAAAGGTATTTCCAGTGCTCGGCCCACAGCTCCTCCCACTGCCAGAAGAGCTGCCATGAGAATCGGGGTTTTGGTCCTCTTCCAGGTAAAGTCTCTTTTAAAATGCTGGTTCTGGGACAGGGCAATAGCTCAGTCGGTAAAGAGCTTGCCATACAAGCATGAGGACATGAGTTCAGATCCTCAGCACCATGTAAAAAACAGAGGGTAGTGGTGTGTTCCTGTGATCCTGCACTGGGGAGGTGGAGATCAGAGGGTCCTTGGAGCCTGTTGACTAGAGAGTCTTGGCCAAACCTGTGAGTGAGCCCAGGTTCAGTGAGAGACCCTGACTCAAAAAAATAAGGTGAAGTGTGATAGAAGGAGACAACTGACATCCAGCATCATTCTCTGGCCTCCATCACAGCTTCTCCAAGGAGCAAAGCTGATTTGCCTACTGTATACCCAGATAACATCTCTCTCCTGAAGAGGGACTTGGTTCTGGGGTTATTCACAGAAGGAAGAGAGAAAGAAGGTAAATAAAGCACATGGAGGCTGCCCATGCTGGGTGCTAGGTGACAGGGTTTTTGTTAAGGAAGACTAAAGCTTGGTTGACTGTCACATGACCATCCTGGAAAGGGGCTGCCATAAGTCCTACAATAAAAGTCTCCTTGCCACATAACAATGGTCTCTGGATCTGTGGAACTGAAGCTTTGTACTAGAAGGCTGCCCCTGGGCAGTCCCTCGAGTATGGGTCTCCCTACTCTACTGCCAGTCCGAGGTCTTTGCTGGTTTCTGTTTATGCTGTTCTTTTCTAAGGGGCTGTTTGTTTTTGTGATGAATCTTGATTTCCTGACCAGGAATGGTGCATCCTTCCTCAGTCTGGGAGCTCCCTGAGGGCAGAGCCTGAATTGTTGGTTTCTCTCAGATGAGGCCACCAAGAGCAGTATCCATGTCCAACATGGGACTGGGGGTTACTTAGAGAAGCAACCTTGGTCTTCCCATTGGATTGGAATGAAAAATTTCCAATAGCAAAGACTGTGTTTGTGCCATGTCCCTTTCGTTCCTTTTAAAGAAAGTTATTGAAAGAAAGTACGTGTCCCCCTTAGACTGGGGCTCCCTGAGGATGGACTGTGTCTCGGACTGGAGCTCCCTGAAGTAGAGGCTGCTGTGTTTCCTTTCTGAGGAGCTCAGTACCAGCTTTGTTCTCAGGGCTGTCTATCCCTACGGAATGAATATGAGAGGGAGAAGGGCTCAGTCTGGAAGATCAGAGATCATAGTGAGTAACTGTGTAACTGACGGGTCCTATGATGTTAAGTGCTGGGCCTTGTCGATGCTATGATTTTGAGACTAGGAGCCTAGACATGGAGCTAAACTAGATTTATCTCACCTAAAAGCTAAGGAGTCACCCAACTGTGTTCTTGGGTGGCTGGGAGGGAACAGCTGAGGGTGGCTTGGTGGTCCTCACCTTGGTGTTTGTGTGTGTGTGTGTGTGTCTGTGTGTGTGTGTGTGTTTACAGAAGAGGAACCTGTTACTAACTCAGAAAGGCCAATTCTGAGGAAGCAGGATGCCCCTCTCCTGAGGAAGGGATATGGGGTTCCCGAATGGGGTAGGCCCTCATCTCCAGGCTGAGGCTCACCTGTGCTGTCTCTTCACCCCAGTGCTACAAGGCCATGTGTACCGGTTCTGCACAGCTGAGGGCCTCTGGCTTCACAAGGACAACTCCAGCATGCCCTGGAGGGACCTGTCAGAGTGTGAAGAGTCCAAGCGAGGGGAGAGAGTAAGCTGAGGGATTCATTCTGAATGGGGGTTGGAGAAGACCTGAACGGGGTGATGGTGCTAAGTCAGAGACCCTGGACTTTGAGTGGGGCTAGTTGTGGTCAGGACATCTATTCCCCTGCTTCTGGTGATTCTGCACACCACGCTGTCTGGCCAAAGATGGTGTACATTCACCTTGGAATCAGGATGTAGACATCCCTGAACCATCACCATAGGCTGTTTCCTTCCTTGATTCTAAAATCCTCAGTGGGGCCCCAAGTTATCTCAGTCCCTGGACCTTGGAATGAAGGGTGTGGAAGAGGGAGAGTCATGGGCTGTGCACACATCCTTGTGTCCCTGTGTGCACACAGAGCTCTCCAGAGGAGCAGCTCCTGTCCCTGTACATCATCTACACAGTGGGTTATGCGCTCTCCTTTTCTGCCTTGGTCATCGCCTCTGCCATCCTCCTTGGCTTCAGGTAAGGGGGCCCTGGACCTGGGAGGGGGCTGCTTTATGTTCAATACTGTGTGGTCAGCCTAAGCTCCACTGTGTACATACACTGCCCCCAAAAGAGAACCTCTCATTTTTAAGAATGGATGATAAAATAGTGCAGAAACCAGACGAGTCCTTCCCAGCAAGCAGGCATAACTGCAGTAATCAATAATTCAGTGTGATTTTAGAAAATTCTCAGTGCTTAGAGATTTCACTGTATTTAGACCTTGTTAACTTCCATGGAAAAGTTCTTTCTGAGGTCGAACCTAGCTAAGCACACCTGCCAGAGTAAAAACTGGGGGGTAGCGTCCTTCCATTCCTGCTGGAGCAAGCCAGGGGAGCTGAATTCAGGGACAGAAAGAATTATACAGGCAGAGAGTCTGGGGTGTCAACCATCTAGAACAGGAGAGATGGGCTTCCTCCTCCTATGTCAAAGCCACCTGCTCGAATACAGCACAAACATTGAGTGCTCAATAGATGCATTCACTGGATGAGTGTTGGGTTAGCTACTTTTCTGTACCTGCGAGATACAATGAGAACAATTTAAGTGAGGAAGGTTTTGTTTTGGCTCATGGGTTTGGAGAGTTCAGTGTTTGGTCACTTGACCCCAATGTGCTTGGGTAGAAAATGGCAGCAGTGGGTTCCTGTGCCAGAGAGGACTGTTCGCTTCACGATGGACAGGAAGCCAGGTGGAACTGGGGGGGGAGCATAACCTTCAGGGCTAGAGAGGTGGCTCAGCAGTTAAGAGCACCGACTGCTCTTACAGAGGACCTGGGTTCAATTCCCAGCACCCACATGGCAGCTACAAACCATCCTTAACTCTGGTTCCAGGGGAATCCAAAGCCCTCTTCCAACCTCTGAGGCATTGCATGACATGGGTGCACTCATATACATGCAGGCAATACACTCATCCACATAAAATAAAAATAATAAATTAAATAAATAAATAAATAGAATAACCTTCAAAAACATGGCCCCAGTAACCTACTTCCTCCAACTAAGCCCCACTCCCTAAAGTTTCCATCCCCTCCTGAAATACCAGCTCCAGCATTCCACACGTGAACCTCCATGGGACATTTCATATCGAAATCGTAACAGATATTCTCCTCTTTTATTATGAAATATTTCAGAGATTCAGAAGTGCAGTGATAAATGTAAATACTATTCAGCCTTGAAATTAAGCATTCTGGGCTAGGGAGATGGCCCAGCAGTTAAAGCACTTGACAGAGAAAATGCGAGGGCCAGAGTTCAGATCCCCAGAAACCCACGTTTCTGGTGGCTCACTTGGAATCCAGCCTCAGAGGTTGGAGATGGGAGCCCCAGAGCAAGCTGGCTAATCAGACTAGCTATGAGCATTCTGGGCTAGGGAGATGGCCCAGCAGTTAAAGCACTTGACAGAGAAAGTGCGAGGGCCAGAGTTCAGATCCCCAGAAACCCACATGTTTCTGGTGGCTCACTTGGAATCCAGCCTCAGAGGGTGGAGATGGGAGCCCCAGAGCAAGCTGGCTAATCAGACTAGCTATATCAGTGAGCTCTGGGTTTGATTGAGAGACCCTACCTCAATGAATAAAGTAGAAGAGTGATCAAGGATGATTTCTGACATTAGACATCAACCCCAGGCCCCCATGTGCATGTGCACACATGCATGTACAACACACAAGTAAAAACATGCATACACACACTAGCACACCACATATACACACATGAAAAGTTGGAAAAGAAGAAAGAAAAGAAACTATTCCAAGCCAGGCACAGTGGCACACACCCATAATCATAGCACTGAGGAGCCTCAGGCAAGAGGGCTGTCACAAGTTCAAGGCCAGCCTGGGTTAGGTGCATAGTGAGTTCTAGGCTAGCCCGTGCTATAAAATAAAGCATCCCTCACAGTTGACCCTGCCCCAACAGGTTGCTCACTCTGCCCCATCTACCAGAGCTAATCCATTTCTTAGTGTCCATAAAATATACAACATGTTTTGGGATATTCTTAATAGCATAACGTCCAGGGGGTGGGGGTGGGCTGGGGGTGTCCAACATCATTTTATGTGAGATGCATTAATGTTAATATGGGTAGATGTATTTCATAAGTTGTAGCTATCTTTCCATATTTCATATTTGTAGCACAGTTGGTGTATATTTGAGAAGTTTCTCCTTTTTTCTGTCTGAATTAAAAACCTAGCCTATAGGGAGCTTCTTACCTGTTGTCTTACCTGTGTGTCGCCCAGGTTCGTACACCCAGGGGTAAATCACCTGGCCAATAACCACCTGGTTTTTATTAATTTGCCAGCTAGTATTAGATTGCTGCCCAAGTGATCATTACCAGCTCGCCATCTCGCCACCAGTGAGAGAAAGTTTCTCTTTGTTTAATAGCCTGCCCACATTCAGTCCTTCCAGAGTTAAGTGTGGCTAATCTGAGGCATGTGATGTGACTCATTGTCATTTAATTTGCATATCTTTGATTCCTGGAGAGATAATCACTTTTCATAATTTATTCCTTGAATTGCTTACTTATAGCTTTTATTTTCTATTGGTTTATTTCTCTCCTTTTGTATATTAATAATTGAGTAATACATTAATTATATATTAATTTGTATATTAATTTGGGATGTTTTGCTCTTAATCTATGCTTATTTTCCATATGTGATGCCTTTTATGCACAGAAGTTTTGGTATTTTTTAATTTTATATTTATTATTTTTATTTTATGTGTATGAGTGTATTGCCTGCATGTACGGGAGTGCACTCCTGTTGTGCAATGGCGAGGAGGTCAGAAGAGGGCTTTGGAATTCCCTGGAAATGGAGTTAAGGATGGTACCTAGCCACCATGTGGGTTCTGGGAATTGAACCCGGGTCCTCTGCAAGAGCAGTCAGTCCTTTTAACCACTGAGCCATCTCTCCAGCCCTGAAGCTTTGATATTAAAACAGAATAAAGTTGGTTAACTATCAATTTTTATGGATGAATAAAAAGATATCAATAACAACTATTGATTGCCGGGTATGGTTGTGCACGCCTTTAATCCTAGCACTTGGGAGGCAGAGGCAGGCGGATCTCTGTGAGTTCAAGGCCAGCCTGGTCTACATAGTGAGTTCCAGGACAGCTGGGGCTACAGGGAGACCCTGTCTCAAAAAGACCAAAAAAATAACCAAAGAAAAAGAAAACCCCCCCAAAAACTGTGGAGTAATGAAAATTGATTTTTATCAGTTAATAAAACATTTACTCATCTCCCCCCAAGACTAAATTTCTTTATGCATCTTTTAATTTATGGTCACAAAGTATGTCGCCTACATTTTCTTCAGGGAGTCACAGATTTTTGTTCTTTCATTGTGGTTCTTAGATTTACCTGGAGTTTATTTTTGTGTAGTGTGGAAATCAGGGATTTTATGTCATTGTGTCATATACAGATGGCGATTGCGCTATGCCATTGCCAGTATTATTGGTTTGTCTTAAGGGTCCGTGGATTTGTTGGTAAGTTTCTGTCATTTATATCCTTTTCCATTAGTCTATTTACCCTATCTCAAAACCATAGTACCTTATTTCCTAAAGATTTCTTATAAATCCTAGTTCCAGGGCCAGAAATTGGCTCCACAGGTAAAGGTGCCAAACCTGATGACCTGAGTTGAATCCCCAAAACCCACATGATAGAAGACAATAGACTCTCATAAGTTGTCCTCCACCTTGAACATGTGGGTCCCAAGTATACACACACATACACACACACACACACACACACACACAGAGGGGGTTAGGGAATCTTAGTTCCATGAAGGCATCTATCTGTATGTCATGACCAGTTCCAGTCCGTGTCTTCCATGGTCCTACTGTAGTGGTGAGAATCTGTAGATGACCAAATAGAGGTACCAACATCACACATCCTCACTTGGGCCCCGATTCTGAAGGAAATATTTGTGTAGTTTTTCCCTTAAGAACGATGGCCCCTCATGCCAGGCATGGTGGCACACGCCTTTAATCCAGCCCTCAGGAGGCAAATCTCTATGAGATTGAGGTTGGCCTGGTCTACATATTGAGTTCCCAGTGGGCTAGAACTAGGGAGACCCTATCAAAAAAAAAAAAAAATGATAGCTCCTGCCTGGGGATGATAGTCTTTATCAGATAAGGTGCCCTCAGATTTCCAATTTGCTGCACGCTTGTTTGTTTTGTGTGTGTGTGGGGGTGTGTGTGTGTGTGTGTGTGTGTGCGTGCGTGTGTGTGTGTGTGTGTGTGTGTGTGTGATGAGCATGGGTTTCGTGCTGTGCCTGTGGAGGCCAGAGGACATTACAAGCTCCAGCAAAATTCCTGATTCTGCCCCTTTCCCCACGCTAGGGTTGCAGGCTTGCACACGCTGGGGTTACACAGGACTTTTTACATGGGTGCTGATGATCTGAACTCAGGTCTTCATGCTTGTACAGCAAACACTCTTATTCACTGAGCCATCTGCCCAGGCCTCGCTACGTATTTTCACATGGAATTGTACCCAGTGCCTTCTCAGTTCCTACTGTGTGTCTAGACCCTCTCTGCCCCTGAGAACAGTTCAGAGGCTTTTAGGAAATAGGTCCTGTCGAAAAGAAGCAAACTGATTGGGAAAACTGATCCTCACTCATACATCTCTTTACTACACATGACTGTATTAAAGAAAGCATTGGCAAGGAGAGAATACGGGCAGGAAGCAGGCCACAACTGCCCAGCTGAGGGCTCCATGGAGATGAAACACCTCAAGGATTTTCAGGATTGAGAGGAAGAAGGACATTCACAGGGGAAGGACAACATGAACACAGTTTCAGAGCTGAATGCTTGTTTGATTGGGGTGGGGGTGCTGATCTGAGAGCCAGGGTTTGTGGAGCATATTGTTGGCTGTCATACCAGGGAAGGGCTCTGCTTTCTCCCTCAGACACCTACACTGCACCCGGAACTACATCCACCTAAACCTGTTTGCGTCCTTCATCCTGCGAGCTCTGTCCGTCTTCATCAAGGACGCAGCCCTCAAGTGGATGTATAACACAGCTGCCCAGCAGCACCAGTGGGATGGGCTCCTCTCCTACCAGGTGTGTGGTGTGGCCAGGAAGGGGTGGGTAGGGGAGAGTGCTTGGTGAAGGCCTGCCTCCACTACAAAAGGTCTGGGATGAGTACAGGCAAGAGCAGTCTAGCCTTGGCCCTCAGGGGACCTGTAGTCTGATGGGAAGGATAGCCCACCTTGGGGAACCCCTAGTCAGATGGGAGAGGCAGTCCACCCCAGGCAGCTCTAGCCTAAGGTGAGAACCCTTGCCATAGGGAGTCCATTCTGACACAGGGGAGTTCTCTGGAGGCCCAGCTGAGTTTGAATCCCAGCCCTACCATGAACCAGTTGTACGCAATTTGGGACCAATCAGTTAACTTCTCTGAGGCTCTATTCTCTTCCCAGCTCAGGGACAATATCACTGTGTTTTCTTCTACTCAGGATAGGGAATGCTCAGTGATCTAAAGCAGAGTGAGCCCCAGCACTGGTTCAGACCGGATGGAAGCTCTCTCATCCTTCATTAACCATGGCAGGACACTAAGGAGGGGCAGGAGGCCGGATTGCTCTTCCCATAAGACCCTTCCTTACCCCCCAGGACTCTCTAGGCTGCCGCTTGGTGTTCCTGCTCATGCAGTACTGCGTGGCGGCCAATTACTACTGGCTGTTGGTGGAGGGCGTGTACCTGTACACTCTGCTGGCCTTCTCCGTGTTCTCGGAACAGCGCATCTTCAAGCTGTACCTGAGCATAGGCTGGGGTAAGGCCCACTCTGGTTCACCTCACCACCTCTACTGGGGCCTGTTTGCAAGGGATGGAAGACTGCCTAGCTCCTCTTCCAAATGGCTAACAACACACTGCCAGACTGAGTGGCAGGACCTTTTTGATGACCCCCCCCAAACCCCCATGGACACAAGGTTATAGTTACCCATTCCCAGCCTTTTGTATAACTTGTCTTAATGGAAGCTTCCATCACCCAAATACCACCCTCTAGCCCTTCCACCACACCACTGGAGGTCAGGACACTGTTCCAAGTAACCTCTGCTCTTAAGGTCCTTTGAAGGAGAGCATTTCACACTCAGAGCAGGGCATCCGGAGACCCTGAGGGAGACAGTGAGTCCTGGGTCTCACAGTGGTCAGGGTATGGCTGATGAGGGCTGATGTAGGATGGTGCTATTGTAATTGTGAAGGGGAGGGCTCAGAGGTGAGGCAAGTCAGGTGGCCTGTGCAGCCAAGGAAAAGGCATCCCTGTGGATGTGCCTGGAGCCCAGCTGAAAATGTTCTAGCCGAAAAAGTTTACTAAGAACCATCGTGTCATTTTTTTTGCTGGAACATTTCTGGTTGTGCTTCTGCCTGTCTTCTGCCACGTGGGATTTGTGGGAGACAGGAAAACAGCCCCTCCTGGAGGAGCCAGCAGGCACCCCAGAGAATAGGCCCTGCCGTCAGCCCTCCATCTGCCCTTGAAGTTCCAGGGTCCTCTTCCTCACACCCCGCCCCCGCCCTGCTTGCCTCCTTAGCTTCCTGCTTCTCCCTTCCTGTCTTTCTCACCCTCACTTCCTTACCTCACCTGTTCTGCCCCTTTCGTCCTGGCTTCCAGAGGGTTCTCAGTGCAGTCACAGCAGACTCCTCCCTCTGGCATCCCACCTCCCTTTCTCTCATCCTAGTCCTGCCTGAGCCTTTCTAAGGCTCTCCTTGCTGATAGCATCCTCCTCCCCGGCAAGGTTGCCAGCCCACCTTCCAGGAAGCCTCCTCAGGATGCTGGCCCCTCAGGGCTCAGCTCTCTGGGCCTCTTACTATCCTTGCATGGTGGTGCTTCCTCAGCCACATCATAGATGACAAGAACTAATGAGGTTTTAGTGGGGCCAGTGTATTAAGGATCCTAAGACTCAGAGAGCAACGGGGCCTTAAAGGCGGAACAGCAGAGCCCAAGAGGCTCCTGGCATCCTGGCCCCAGGCCTTGAGGTCTGCTTATCACACACAGGTCTTGGCCCGCGCTTGTCCCTCAGCATCCCCCACAGGCTGGGAGTTCTCTACAAGTGACATGTGGGCCTGGCTTGTACATCCTGATCCCTGCCTGACTCTCCCTTTCCTCCTACCCCATCCTGCTAGACTTTTCTCTTCCTTCCTGGGCCTTTTCATCCTGCCCGGTGCCCCATCAGGCAGGGCATCTGGAGGGTTCTAATGTTCCCTAGGGGTGGGGGTGGGGGCAGGCCATTGAGGAGAGCTCAGAGAAAGGCTTCCTCAGGGTGGAGGACCGTGTCTGTCCATTCTGGGAAATGGCATCAGTACTGTTTGTATCTGTCACCATAGCAACCTGAGGACAGGACCAATCGAAGGGATGTGTGCAGAAAGCAGAGGATTGGTAGGGGTCGTAGGAGACGCATGGTGCTCTGGAGATCTCTGAGCAGGTGATGGGGGTGGGGGGCCAGGTCTTTCCTGCCCACTCTAGCCCAGGGCTCAAATTCCATTGAGTATAAGGGCAAGACCATGGGGAACTGCTGCCCCAACTGGAACATCCGTTACTGGAGGAATTGGGGTGGGGAAAGGCAGAGAAGGACAGGGACTGAGAGAAAGCAAAATTCACAGAGACCTGAGTGCTCTGTGGTGGTGCCAAGAGGCCTGGCCCAAGTCAGGGTGCTGGGGGAACATCTAGCTTCATGTGCAGGTGAACTAAAAGTAAGACTCTGGTGACAGTGGGAAGTCACACATAAAGGTATGCCAACTTGTGCAGTCATCCACGAGCAGTTGGGTACCACCAAAAGGGAAGTGGGTGATGGGTAGGGAGGTATGACTTCCAGGGCCAGTGTCTGTGTGTCTTAAATTGAGCCTCCTCCCCTAACCTGTCTTGGAGAAACTCAGCCTTTAAGGAATGTGTCATTTTGGCAGGTGACAGGGGTGAGCTCTTGTTTCTTTACAATGACCTTGTTCACTAAATGCTAATGAGCAAATGAAGCTTATGAAGGTAACATGAGTGAGCACCCCCAAACCGGAGTGAGGTCTCAGAGAGGAAGAACAGCAGTTGGCTGAGAGCACCCAAGAGGGAATTTCTGTACATGTGTGGCTTAGGGAATCAGCATGTTCTTGTCTAGAGAGCATCCCTTCCCTCACTGATATATTGACTCATTCAATCACTGTTCTCATTCCATCTATTCTTCTGGGCAATGGCTATGGGGCAGAGTCTATGCTGTGCCCTGGGTCCCTCACTGGCCATCCCATTCTTTGTTCAGTCTCCTGAAGGCCTGTTTATACAGCATTATGGATGTTGAGACAGCTGGTCTATGTAAAGACAAATGGGCTGTGGGAGGCCCTGGGGAGATGACTCAGTGGATAGAAGTGCTTACTACACAAGCATGAGGACCTGCGTTTGATCCCCATAATCCCCATAAAAAGCCAGGTGCAGTGGTGCGTGTTTGTAATCCCAGCACTGGGAAGGCAGAGAAAGAATTCCTGAGGCTCACTAGCCAGCCAGCCTGGCCTAATTGGCAAACCCCAGGCCCTAGTGACAGCCAGGGTCCCCAAAATCCCCTTTGGGAACACATCCCCAAAAGACCTCCCATAAGACCCTATCATTTGAAGTCTCTACCACCTCTCATTAGGACCTAGGGAGGTGCCCTGATCCCAGGGAACCCTGAGGACCAGGCCATTAATACAGGCCTTTGAGTGATGCTTATCCAAACCTTAGCATTCGGCCAAATGAGAAGTCTTATTTTTGTAGCTATTGTTATCATAGGCTGCTGTGGACAGTCACTTGGTCTGACAGCAAAGACAGGGTTCCTGGCTCTCTTTCAGGAGTCTGCCTAGGCTTTGAGCAGGTGTATGGGGCGGGGGTTTGCAGGTGGAGGGAGCTAACACCTGAAGGGGCTTCTGGGACCCAAAGAAGTGGATTGAAATGGATACACGGGCTGTAGCAAGGATGCACAGGGCGTCAGGGAGCTCACCTCGTCCCCTCCTTATCTAGCATAGTCTCCTTACATTGTTGCCCCAGCCCTGGGCTACTTGAGTGTCTGTGTCCTGGGATCTCAGGAGCCAGGAGCCTGGAGCCAGATCCTGACAGTGTCCCTGGTACAGCAGAGGGCTGGAGGGCTGGACCATAACATCTCTGTAGGGAAGGGTCCAGGGCATTTGCATGGGGTTCCAGCACCACCTCCATTCTCCTAATCACTCAAAACAGCCTAGAGATATGTTTTGGGACCAGAAAGGGAGAGGGGCTGGAGGTGTGAGGGGCCCAGGGTGTGCAGAGGCCCAGGCACACGTGTCAGTGGCTCTGGCCTGCCAGCCCCTCTCCCCTGTCTCTCTCCTCTCTCCTCTTAGGTGTTCCCCTGCTGTTTGTTATCCCCTGGGGCATTGTCAAGTACCTGTATGAGGATGAGGGGTGAGTGTCCCACTGCCAGGGGATGGGTGTGCTGAGGTTCCTATTCTCCCAATCCCAGGGGTTCTCACCGGTGTATGGAGAGTTAGCAGAGGGACAGGAGCAGGGGCTCTGCAATCCCCACTCCGAGTCCCTCCACTGGGACCCTATGTTAACAAACATTGCTGGCCTCTGTGGTGCATGATGCCGTCCTATAGGCTTTTACGTAAAATCTGAGAGAATTGCTTGTTGTTTGGTGTATGATGCTGCCTACACATGACTATATCCAGAGGTCCCTGAAAAGACAGAGGCCTATGTGTCTCGGCGTATGTGTGACCATGTACTGAGGTCTGCATGTTGTGGCTATGGGTGTGTATTTGTAGGGCTCTGTGGCTGTGTTGGCCTTGTGCACTTGAGGCCCCCGTCCTAACTGGGTGCTGGGGCCTCTGGGAAGCCAGCTGGATGCCTCGTGTGCTTCCTTCTTCTCAGCTGCTGGACCAGGAACTCCAACATGAATTACTGGCTCATCATCCGACTGCCCATTCTCTTTGCCATTGGGGTGAGTGACAGAGTTGGGGGGAGGGGGAAGTGGAAGTAGCTGGACCTTGGCTGGGGCCAGGCTAAGGATTTGGGGAGGATGAGAGGGTCTCAGCCACCTGCTCACATGCTTTACAGGTGAACTTCCTCATCTTTATCCGGGTCATCTGCATCGTGGTGTCCAAACTGAGGGCCAATCTGATGTGCAAGACAGATATCAAATGCAGGTGACCTCACCAGGCTGGCTGTGGGAGGCCCCTCAGTCTTCCCTTCCAGTAGAGAGGTATTCTGGGGTGCTCTGTTTAGAGCCCTATAAAACCCTCTTCTCCCACCCAGGCCTGATCTGGGACCCCTGAGGCCTGTCCCTCACTCTGCCCTTAGCAGCCACCTGGGCTTCTGGAGTCTTGAGCTCTGTTCCTTCTCCCTCACTGCCCCAAGCAATGTGACTGGGTTATTTGCAGCAGAAGGAGTGCTTGACTCTGATGATAGAAAGGAGACAGAGCACAGAGTCGGGGAGGAGTCTGTGCACATGGACCAGAATGATTCCAAAGGTCTCCCCCTGTCCCCAGACTTGCCAAGTCTACCTTGACCCTCATCCCCCTTCTGGGGACGCACGAGGTCATCTTTGCCTTTGTGATGGACGAGCATGCCCGAGGGACACTGCGCTTCATCAAGCTGTTCACGGAGCTCTCCTTCACCTCCTTCCAGGTGACTCATGGCTGGGGACTCTCGCCTGGGAGGGACACAGATACCAACCTGCATCACAGATGGGAAAGACAGGCAAGCTGAGGCCTGGGGGAGTAGTCCTGGCCCCAAGTTACAGAGTTGAAAGAGCCAAAGGCATGTCCCCAGGTGTTCCAACCCACACACCAGTCTCCTGTGTAAGTCCATGAAATGAAAAGCCTCCCCAGATGTGGTTCTGAGCATCTGGAGAGAGGGGCACTGGCATCCACTAGCATCCTGCCACGAGTTTTACACACATGGTACATTTAATCCTCCCAGGACCTGCAGTTGTGTGAGATTGTCCCCACTTTACAGAGCTGGAAACTGAGACTCAGAGATGCTAAAACAAGATTCACAAGGTGTTGTGTGACCTTTTCTAGGAGATATCAACAAACATCTATTTGCCCCAGAGGGCACTTACAGCAGACCAGTGAAATGATTCCACTCCACTAGCCTGGTAAACCAATGAGTTTATCACAGTTACTTACAGAAGCATGATTGACTCAAAGGCAGTCATCCCTGAAAAGCCCATCCCAGCATGAGTGATGTCACAAACACTGCATCTCTGGACCTCCCTGTACACTTTGCAGGCAGCTCCTTCAAAGAGTCTCTTCCGGCAGCAATTGTTACTGCTTACATAACCTTGGGGAGGGGCCTTGTAAATTCCATGAGCTCCCTAAGCCTGAAATTTTTCTTTGGCTGATCTACTGAGTCTCCTTCCTCCCTCCCTCCAGGAGGGAATGTTTCAGTTCAGAACTGCCCACACACAAGGCAGGGGTCACTCAGTTTCAAAGCAAGGAGTTGATCCTCCCACTAGTGTTAGATGATGCTGCAGGGTGTAAAAATGGAAGGAACTGACCTCTCAAGAGTGCTACTGATGCTTACAAGCACATGGAGCAGTGTGTGTGCATTCATATAAGTAGAGGGAGGGAGGGAGAGAGAGAGAGAGAGAGA